CCCCCCGCCAGTGGCTGCGATCCCAGCCTCAGCTGCAGAGGCGGCCGCAGCCCTCCTGGCCTCCTCCTCTTGCCGCTGCCTCTGTTCCTCCATGGAGACGCGCAGAGCCTGCGGAGACGGTGCCAGGCAGGGAGCTGAGCGGGGCAGAGCTCGGAGGGACCGAGCTCCGCGCCCGCAGCCGCCCTCCAGCTCCCCATCGCTCACCAGAGCCAGCTCCGGGTCCGCGCTCGGGTCCACGCCGAACTCGAAGTCGCTGGCGCCGAGGCCCAGCATGGCACCTCCCTCCCCGGCCAGGATGGGGGAGCTGATGAGGGCATCGGCCAGGCTTGGCCCCGGCGGCACCGTCACCAGGTGGGAGCCGGTGCCATCCTTGCCGTTTAAGGTGTTAATGAAGGCAGTCAGCTTGTCCGTGTTGGCTTCCTAGGGCCAAAGAGAAAGGCTGGGACTAGAGCTTTGCCTGGCTCCTCAGCTCTGCGAGAGGGACGGCCGCCTGCTCCGCACGCCCGGCGTCTCTCCGCACTACGGGGGAGCCAAGAGCTCCGCTATTTCCATCAGGACGGAAAGCATTTAACGACGCCTGCGGTGAAACAGGAGAGGTGTCTTCCCCGAGGGAAATGTTACTCTCCTCATTAGCATTTCCACTGGGGCAGCTGCTGAAGGGACCGAGGCTCAGAGAACTGTTCGTATCCCCACGCGCCTGAGTAAGGGCTCCAGGCTGGAAAGGATACGGGATCCTGCCTTGGATCTTAGGCAGGAAACCCGGCAGAAGTCTCACCTCTTCTCCAAAATTGATGATGTCAACGTTGACTTTCTCTTTCTTAAGACGCTTTGCCAGTTTCACCAGCTGCAGTGAGGAGACACCGCGGCATTAGCTCCTCATTGCCTGAATTCCGGCTCTTACCCATGCCCAGCTCATCAGAAACCAGACAACAGCACTTAGGATTCGGTCCTGGAGGTGCGAAGCCCAAAATCAGTTTCCCAGTTTCAAGCCCTCCCAGCAGGGAAGCCTTTGAAATAGTCCGCCTCTCTGGGTGGGACCGGCGCTACCACACAGTGCCCGAGGTGCTGGGAGGTGGCACAAGCGAGGGAGCTGTTCCTGCCAAAGCAAGTAACCGTCCCCATCGATGGGGGCAGCGAGAGCCTGGGACAGGCAGCATCTCCTCACCTTTCCGACCTGTTCTTTCAAAGAGACCCAGAACACCTGGATTAACTTCACTTGCGTTATTTTAAGTGCCAACAGAACAGCATCTTCCAAAGCCCGAGAGCATTATTTCTGCTCAGGGACACAGATTTCCTCCCCCAGCTCCTCAGGCAAAGAGCCCAAAGTGGTCTGGGTGACAGCCACAAGCCAGGAGGCGCGGGACATGGCGCAGGCTCCCTCAGGAGCCACCTGAACCGGGGGAGGGAAGCAACCCTACACAAAACAGCGGGAGAGCTGGATCTCTGTCCTTGGCTCAGGCCTGGCTGTGCCCAGGGATCCGGCCTTCCCTCTCCCTCCCTCTCCTCCTAGCTGGGAACCGCCCTGCTCAAGCGGCTCTGTCAAGCAGCCTGCTTGCTGGGGTATAAAGCCTTACTTTCAATCCAGAGCAGAGAACAAACGATAAACCCGATTTACGGTTCAAAGTAGATCGCGGAGCTGACCCAACGTTTTTTCCTTTGGCCGTTACTCACGTCTTTCTCGTTATCTTCTACAGGGCTCCCAACGAAGGCGATGATTCGCATCTTGTGGTTCTTGCCTTGGCGATGCTTTAAAGCCAGCTGCAAGACAGAAGTCATATTGTACTTAAGGAGCAATTCTCAGGACAAAGGGGTGGCCAGCAGTCACCCCTGATACTTTTCCTGTTACGCAGGAAAATTTAGGCTAGATGCCAGGAGCGGCTTTTCAGTAGCAAGTTCCACCAAACTGCCTACAAGCAGGCATGTCTCAAGGGCCTCCCGTTTGCTGGTATTTATGACTCAGCTGGGAGCAGTTTGTTGGCAGAGAGACAGTCTGGGACAGAGCAAGAAAACAGGACAAAAGGGTGGCCACATCCCGGGGGACGCTCCTCGGCTGGGGGCTGCTCTCCTCAGGGTGGGAAGGGACGAACAGCTCGGCTGGACTTCTGCAAAGCAACCGCCAGGTTCCTCCAAAGCAAACCAGGACCAGACTGTTGAACTTCCAGCTTTAATATTAGATTTTATAAAGGAGGTTTCAGCTGCATTTTGCAGACAGGGAGATTGAGGCAGAACTAAAATTATTTGCTCGGCATTGCTCAGCCGTAGAGGCAAGAAGAGAACAAGATTTCCCGTATCGAAGCCATCAACAGGCCAGGTAATTTAACAGATGCACTAAGGCAAAAGGAATTACAGAGAAAGGTGCAGACTCGCTCATGAGGAACCAACAAGACCACTTACGTGAGCAACTCTGATCCCTGTGCAAAAGGTAATTTTCCCTTTGGGTTGCACCGTGTGTAGCTTTGAAAGGATCCGGCCTGTGTCTGGAGTGAGCGTGGTCAACACTTCACAGTTACTGCAACACAAACACACTTACGTTGGCGACCGCTTCTTTGAGAATTTCTTTGCCAAAACCCTTTATTTGCTATGGGAATAAGAAATGCCCCTCTGCCCAGCCTGCGCTAAGCCTGTGCCTGCTCCAAGAGTCTGCCAGCGCTTGGCTCTGGTGGGTCAGTGCGGCCAGGCAGCAAGACTTTGGGTGTTTTTAGGAAACCAGGCTAAAAGTAATCTGTCTGCATGAAGGCTTGTGTGTGTCTCTGTCCCCTGCCCCAGCAACCTTGAGCCCACTGGCCAATTTTAATCAACTCTGGCTAAGAGGGAGTTCACAGAGGCACTGAAACCCTGCAAACTTCAGGAAAATGGAGGAATGACTGTCTCGGGGCTGCCCGTGAGCCACAGTGACAGTTCAGCCCTCGCTTGCCACCCTTTGGGACACAAGGCCACAAAAGGGTAAGTCCGGCAGAGAGTTCCTGAGAGAGAAAAGCCTCCATATCATATCCTGGCATTGCAGGAGCGAGCCCAACAAGCTAGAGTCCGGTCAGGAACCAGGTTTTCTCATACCCGTCCTCCCGGAAGAACTGGTTTGGGTTTAGACTGTGCTATCGCTGCCCCGTTTTGCAACACTCCCCTGTTTCTTGTCCCTGCGCTCCCTCATGGGTCCCCCCAGCCGCTCCTTGGCATCACCGCCTGCTTGCCAGGAGCAGCGGCCCCCTGAGGCCAGTTTCCCCCCTGGGCGTACTTGGCTAAGGTGATGAGCCCCACGTTGTTCTCGGGGTTACTGCGGGTTTTCGAGTGGCACACAATGTTGACAGCATCTTGCTGGGCTTGCAAGCGAGTGGGTAAGAAGTCTCCATTCCTCATGTACTCGCTGTTGTCAACGCTGAAACAGAGAGGAGGGTGTCAGCTTGTGAAACAGTTGAGGTTTATCCCCAAAACATGCTTTTCAGGACAGCACACCTAAGGTCACACAGCTGGGGACACGCAGCAGAACACGGACGTTTCCCGGGGCAGAGAGACGAGTCGTCTCTGCGTTTCCCTGAGTTTTCAGATCAGATCCGACCTTTGGATCACAGGACAAACGCTGGGAGCCCTGCCACAACGGCTGAGCAGCCGGCTTGGAGCTGGAAGCTCCCGCTCCTTGCTGAAGAGCAGGAGAGGCGGCTGCGGCCAGACACAACCTCAGACCCACATCTCCTTGATGCCTTCTTCCATCTCCACAACAACAAAAAACACCAAGAGGCACCGCTCCATGGTAAAGCGCAAAGCTTTATCACCATATGAGCGCAAACTCATCATCGCCGCGGAGTTTTCATCAGGACAAAAAGCAGCAGGGACGGCGGGCGCTTTCCAAACACGGCTCTGCTCCGCCGGCGCGGTGCCTTCCTCGAAGCAACACGGCGACGAGCCGAACCCCCGAGCCCCACAGCCCGGCTTTAACATCCTACACCCGCGGTGGGTGCCAGGGCCTCCACGAACCGCACAGCACATGAGCAACAGTGCCCCGCAGCGTCTAACTGCAGCAGCCACATCGCAACGTCGCTGTAATTAAATCCCTACCCTCCATTCCGTCGGCTATTAAATATAGCACAGGACAGGCAGAAAAAGCCCTTCTCTTACGCTGGCCTTCAGGAAAGTGACCCCAGGAAGGAGGACTACTTAAACAAGAGCTTGAGAGTTTATTTTGGCCCCAAATTAAGACTTTCCTTAGGAGTACTCCCAGAGTTTTTTAGTTTTAACACGAGGAGAAACGTTTCTTCTGAAAAAAACAAAAACAAACCCAAAAAACACCTGTGACCGTTTCCCTGACCCTACAGCCACGGGTTCCCCGCTCAGGACCGGCTCGGGCTCGTGCTGGGCCACCTCTCCTCTGGCCCAGACCAAATACCCCGTCGCGAGCTGCGTGCTGGGGAGCGAGGAGGCAGCAGTGGCCGAACTTCATCTCAGGCGCAAAGACACAAAGCGACCTCGCGAGGCCATCCAAACTGCAGCTCACTGTTCACGGAGTAATAGTGAATTCCTCACACTCTCCAGGACAACACGAGGAGCAGCGACACGTTTTAACGCCCTTAAACGTGAGTAAGCAAAGAGTTACCCTAAGAAAACATCAAGGACTTCGATATACGGTCAGCGAGTCAGGCTACGGTAATATCTTTATCCAAACGGCTACAGGACTATGTGGAGAGCCAAGGAAACAACAGAACCTGGACAGATTTCACTGGTTTTCTCTATCATGGCCTTCTTAAACACCAAAACCAAAACACAACAGGACTGTAGCTGCTGCGATAATAATGACATCGGAAGTTCACCTCCGCTTCCAGCCCTGGCTGCCCTCGGCACCCAGGGACAAAACCCCTC